GAGAGACCCACTCCACCTAATGGCTCTGTGCATTTCTGCATGCCTCATCTCCACGTCATCTGTTGACCTCCACGTGGTTTTCGCCAGCCCGAATTAGTTACCTGTTATTGTTATTATTACTGTTGTGCCATTAACCCCATGGCTGTCTACAAGCCGGTGTTATTTACATACATATACTTTTTTCAAATTCTTCACCTTGCTGAGTGCCTCCCAGCTAGCCTCAGCCTTCCCTATTTGCCTAGCATGTACACACACCTTTAAGAGTTTCTTGCTTTGTGTGGGGCTGGTAGTTCTGCTTTGACAAAGCAGTACACTGCTGATATTACCAAGCCTTGCACCTCTCGCATACCAGAAAACACTTCTTTCGGACGAGCCTCGTTACCGCGTGTTAGGGTCATAATGGCAAGCTTTGTAGCGAATGTCCTCCTCAAAAATGAGAATGAGTGTACTGGCTTCAGACAGACAGTGTAACGTGCTCATGTTTTGAGTTCCATTGCGTACTGTGTTTTGACCATAGTGGCTCATCTCCCTCCCTCAAAATAGATCCAACCCCTGTCCACCTTATATTTTACCACTAATCTTGTATGCACTGCGAGTTTGGCAGCGGTCAGTGAAGTTCGCTTCACTGTATTTCGCTGTACGATGATGATGATGATGCTGACGTGCTCAAGAGTTGTCACCATCTTTGGTCTGCCTGTTCCGCATGTATGCTTTCGCGGGGTTGCAGGCATCGGTTGCTTGGAGTATTCGCTTATGCATCCTTCTTTGTAGCATAGATTCCACCAGGATCTTCGTTTTCCCGAGACCACCTCTTCAGCTAGATCCTTCAGCTTTTTTAAATCACTGCCACCTTCGGTGAAGTAACTTCACTTTAAACGGTGCGTGAGCTCAGCGCCTTCGCTGTCCAAGCGTTTTGCTCTCAGAGACTCGAAGCGTACTCCGGCCAAACTTTAAGGGAACAATATACTTTCCCGTGACTAATCGTTTGTTGTTCCTGAAACCTACCGGGATACCGAGAAGCACGAAGAGTTAGACCGAATGGCTTTCACAGGTCGGGAGAGAGCGCATCCATCTCTAAAAGTGGGAGCAAGTAAATGCAAAACTTTCACCATGAAACAGAAACCTAACACCTATCAGGGAATGACTACAAATCAGGAAGTAACACACCAAAGCGATCTCTTTAGGGTGGTTTCCGTGTCGACACAAAAATGCACAAAACTCTGGTAAAAACACGTTTGACGGCTAACGAAACCCTCCGAATAAAAAGAAATCAAACCTCAGTGCATAATACGACCCGCTAATTTTTGAAATACCTGAGGTTATTGCACTACTTAACGCAAATAAATCCGGCGTAGTGCGAACCCATTCTACCTGAAAAAGAATTAGACGAACTTAGGTTCGTTTAATAAACGATTGTTCATTGTCGTCATTTTGAAGTACAGTAGTCGAAACGGAATGTGAGAAGACGCATCAGGTATCACAGGGTAGAATTTGAGGTTTCAATATAAGATTCGCCATTTCTACTGTATTTTGCGAAGTACGATAAAGAATAATGAACCAGTATGACACCTCGCTTCGGCGGTACATATATTAAAATTGGAACGATACAGAGAAGATTGGCATGGCCCCTGCGCGGTAGTGCGGATCTATTCTACCTGGAAAAATGGATTAAATGAACTTTTTTCATTATCAGCCTTTGGCGGTAGAATAGCACCAATGAAATGGAAAAAATGGTGATAGTTGACGTTATAAGTACCAGCCTCTATAGTTGTGATTTTGCCCCAAATTGTTTACATGCACGTTAATTCCCGTAACGGCTTACTGCGCGGTGAAACCTATAAATAGCGATGAGTTTTGGCTACCATTCCCCTTTCGTTTTGAGTTGTCGCCGCCGATTGACGATTCCCCCCGTTTTTGTCGGTTTATGAATTGTTCATAAAAGCGCTTCCGGGAATTTGTGGACGATTTTCGTGAATATCAGAAGGAAACATGTTCCTCCTTCTATATATATAATTCAAGAACTCGTGAGGCTTGGGCCAAGGTGCATGGATGCGAACTTCCGGAAGGTTTCCCGCACTACTTCATCAAGTACTGCTGCGTGCATCAGCGAAGGAACTCAGCGTCCGCTATCAGGTATAACAACATATGGAGAATTCATTCATCTTTAGATATCCAAGCTACGACTGCGAAGCACAAGTTACGGTGCGCATTGTAGACGGGGTCTATTGTTAAGTGGTCTATGAAGCATTGTCATAATTTCCAGGTTGGAAATCCGTCGATGCACGTGCGGAATAGGCGTCTAACACCCAGCCAAGAGGCCGAGGTGTTCGATGTGATGGGTAGTTTTAAGATCACTAGGAAGCTTCGTGAGTTAGCACTGACGCGTTTCGGTCGTAGACTCACTCGCGAAGATTTCCGATCCATCCGTCAACGATGGTCTCAAATGAGTAGACGAATCGACGCCGTTCGCGTTTGTGACTTATTGCTTTCGGAAGGTGCCTTANCTTCTTTAGATATCCAAGTTACGACTGCGAAGCACAAGTAACGGTGCGCATTGTAGACGGGGTCTATTCTCTTGTTAAGTGGTCTATGAAGCATTGTCATAATTTCCAGGTTGGAAATCCGTCAATGAACGTGCGAAATAGGCGTCTAACACCCGACCAAGAGCCGAGGTGTTCGATGTGATGGGTAGTTTTAAGATCACTAGGGAGCTTCGTGAGTTCGCACTGACGCGTTTCGGTCGTAGACTCACTTGCGAAGACCTCTGATCCATCCGTCAACGATGGTCTCAAATAGATAGACGAACCGACGCCGTTCGTGTTCATGACTTATTGATTTCGGAAGGTGCCTTAAGCATCCGGCATATGGATAATGTAATTCGTTACGTCTTCCTCGTTCCCAATGTAGTGATGGAAATGGGTAGGCGTCTCACCGACGTCATTCTAGCGGACGCCACCCACCAATTTAATTGTGGTGGTTATGTAATGTGGCATGCCATGCTAGTTGACCAGAGCGGGTTAGGGCGTAGTTTCTTCTATGCGATTCTCCCAAATGAGAGTGGTATAAGTTACCAAACTGCGCTTGAGTACATAGCAAGTGTTCTACCAGAAACACGTGCTAAAACTATTGTTGTTGATCGAAGCTTAGCTCAGTACAATGCTTTCCGAATTCAATTTCCGAAAGCATCAGTTATATTTTGTAGGTTCCATATCCTAAAGGATATGAAGCAACGCTGTAGTCGGCTTAGTGGGACGGTAACTAGTGACAAACTTCGCATATTCCAGTGGATGCGGAATATGGTGTTCGCTAAAAGTGAACAGAAGTTTGACAGATTTAGATCTGCCATAGAAGGTCGGTGCCCGGAAGCCATGGGTTACCTTAACAGAGCTTGGTTGTCTTATAAGGCTAACTGGGCACAATTCCTCATCAGGGATAAGCTCTCAATCGGTTGTTTTACAACCAATAGGGTTGAAACAGAAAATCGTCATTTAAAAACTGGTCTCAGCATTAGTTCAACATTGGAAAATGTCTTTTCCAATGTGCTACAAAGGGTAGCATCCTTGGAAGAAACATTTAGACAACATCGCAGTAAGGATATAATGGGTTTATATGTTGCCCCAAAAGGTGAACGTTGGGCCCAGTCAATACTTGAAAGTCTGACCGGTTTTGGGCGAACTGTTCTACTGAAGAATCTGCTCTCCGAAAAGGTTGTAAGCATTAGTTACGGCAAAGGTTGTTGGTTAGTTACCAACGAGAACCATGTTCGTAAAGTAAATTTAACGTCAGATTATATGTGCGACTGTTCATTCAATGCACAGTGGTCGCTGCCATGCTTGCACATACTGAAAGTGATGCATGCCATCGGCCGTGACTTGAAGGAAATTAATGTAGACAGTTGGGTCCACGGAGATTGGAGTAATGAAGTGGTTACAAAACCCTTTGCTGATGTTCAGAAAAATTTTCCCTTACGTTCATTTCTTGCGTTTGGAACGGAAGGAGCTATAGTTATTACGATATTCACCATTAAGTATGGTCGTCTAAGTCCAGTTACAGTCTCAGATGGTAGAACTTAAGGTTTGGATATCATTTTCCATAAGAAATACAGTATAGACTATACCTTGCGTGGTAAGTTAAGTATTCCTGTATGCGTAAAATTAATTAGAAACTAATAAATTAACCCAATGAGGCCTCCTTGAAGAGATATTGCTGTTTCACCGTAGGCAGAATAATCCTGATTATTTTGAATGCGCGACAAGAACAATTTCTTATGTAACGTTAGGAACAATAGAGACGCCAATTACGGCGCCAACAC